GAACCCCATACAAATCTAACAAACATTTTGCTGGCTTCTTTTAAAAAAGTAGTAATTTTCAGCGTTTGAGACTTCAAACATTGTTCCCAACAGGAAAAGAAAACAATATATTTCAAATGATTCACTGAAATTAAAAAAAAAAAAGATTTCTCTTCATTAAAAGTAAGTGGATTGATAACCAAAGGATAAAGCCATTCTCAAAGAAAGCGTGCTTTAATACTTCATGAAGTCATCCAAAAAGGGAATTTATGGTAAAAATACAGTATATATGTGTTTATTCGTGGACTTTTCTGGGCACAGATGTTAGTACAAGACTGCATACAAGTAGCGACTGTGCCATAAAGAGAAGCAAGGGACAAAAAGTACAACTCTTACACCAATTTGGTCATGCAGATAAGTCTGGCAACTGTATCCTAGAGAGTCAAAACAAAGATGGTGCAGAACAGACAGCCCTGTGACTGTGTGTGCACGTGCATGCGTGCAAGCGAGAAATAGTCTATTTATAATAACATTAAAAAGCCCATAGCAATAATGTAACTAAAGACTAGAAAAGAGAGGGACACAAGTTCTTAAGTGATTTCAAGAATTTATGAGCCAAATTTTGCCCCTGTCTGCACAGACAAGGCTCCCAGTCACACAAACCATAAGGGCTTCCCAAGTTCATGCTTCTTTAGCTAACCACTCTCTCATTCATCCCACATCTCTCCCAAAAAAAGTGCTGTGAGGGATGAGTCAGAGATTAGTAATGAGCTGTAGAGAGACATAACTGGGTCACTAGTTCAAGCATAGCCCCATGTCAGCAGAGACTGAAAATTGTTGGCTGTTTGGCCTAGATGAACTTCCTTGAGATTTCTCAGTTCAGAAATTAGCTTCTGCTTCATTATGGGCACCACTGATTGTAGTATCAGCAAGAACACCAAAGTCTGAACAGCAAGACGGGGGAAACCCACTTTTAGGTTAAATTGCTGCACCCATTAACTCTTCTGCAAATAAACAGGGGTCTGTAGTTCCCAGTGTTCTCAATCTTGCATGACATCATAAACTTTAAGAAAAAATGTATATGCATTTCCCAACTTAACAGGGCAACCTATTTTCATGCACATTGGGTGCATCTATACATGCGCTTTACTGCAGAGTAGATTAATTAGCTCCGCAGTAAAGTGTCACAGTCTAAATCTGTACTGGTATTAGGGCGCAGTAAACTAATTAACAGTACTATTTTATGGCAGAGTACCTTACGACGCCAAAACACACGTGTAAATGCTGACTGTGGGCATACAATGGCAGTCAGCCCAGCCAGCCAGGGGTCTCATCCACCCCAGTTTAAATTGCTGCTCTTCTGGGTACACATATATGCCCAGGCAAAGTTGACTCCAGCTTCAACTGCTCTGGAGTTTAATGTGTTGCATTAATTGCATGTGTAGATGCACCATCTGTCATTAAATCACAGTGGAATGTGGAATGAAAACAGGATATCCCAGTGTTGACATCGAAGCTAAAACTCAACAACTACTCTAAAACAGGCTGCCAGCCTGCAGGTACCAGTGGTATTAATTACTACAGGATGTACTTAACTCCTATTACTCTCTCATTGATAGCTTTTACTTTACTTAATGCCATCGAGACATAAAAGTTACAAATGCTACCTAGCAGAAGGAATGTCAGACCTTATTAAATACATGATACTATAGGCCATTCTGGTCCCTGCTACATAAATATTACATTTAAGGTTTAAAACAACACTCATTTAATAGAGAGTCTCCTTCAGATGCAGTGATGGAACTTGTATTTGTAGAATAAAGAGTTCCAAGTTCTGAATGACTTTAAAATTTGAACACAGTATCTGATGCCTACGAAGTCTCCATGGCCATGAAATTTCTATCAGAGCCTCCAATATCAGTAAATGCATAATTCTAGCCAGGTATCCAGGTTGTAGCCGTATTGGTCTAGATGAAGAAGCAATCAGGGCTCATGGATCGAGGTGATATCTTTTATTAGACCAACAAGATTTTTGCCAAAAACAAAAACAAAAACACCCCACTCTTTAATTGCAAGCTTAAATCTTTAATTTGTGCCCGAAAGCTAGCAATTAAAGAACTTTTTTGCAAAAATCTTGCTGGTCTAGTAAAAGATATCACTAGCCCTGATTGCTTAATTCTAGCTAGCAAATTCATTAGACAATAAGTTTTCAAAAAAGAGGACAACTCAGAAAATCCAATCTTACTCTTTTCAAACATTTTGATGCTTTCATTGAGAAAGGGCTTCTAGCTATTTTACTGCCTTTCCACAAATGCTACTCCCCTCCAAACCATCATGTACTATTTAAATCCACTCACAAAAAATTATTCATTTAAGGCATGTCCCAAAAAATAACACTAGTGGAAAATCCGAGAAAGGAACGTTAGAAAACAAAACATCTTGCAAACCAGCGCAAAGGAGTGAAAATGTTGCCTTTTAAAAGCAGTATCTTTTTGTTTCTTTTGTTCTTGTAACGGCAGTAGCACTTGTAGTGCTGGCATTTATCATCAAAGACAATATGCATTTTTTCTGCGACATCTCCTTCTCCCTTTCCCCTTCCCCTATCCCTAAGTATTATCCCTTAAAATGCACTAAATCTGTTCATATTTCTTATGCTTTTTTGTTGCAGTATCTATCTAACCCAGGGACGGGCAATTATTTTAGGCAGAGGGCCACTTACCCAGTTTTGGCAGGCTGTTGAGGGCCGCATGGGTAGCCCCGCCCCTTGACAGGTGCCCCACCCCTTGATAGGTGCCCCACCCCCTGGTCACCATCTTGGGACCAACTGTCCCAGGGCCAGGGCCAGGGCCAGTGCCAGCGGGGCCCAGAGCAGGGCACACGCTGGCAGGGGTCTATGGAGCCGGGCTGGGCTGCACTAGAAAGGAGAGGGGGGAGCTGGCCCGGCTCCATAGAGCCCCTGCCAACTGGGACCCCATGCTCCTGCCACCCTGCTCTGGGCCCCACCGGCACTGGTCCCGGGACACCGGTGCAGGACCT